ATTGTTTAAATTTTGAACAAGCCTGGTGTGTTGACTTCATGGCTCCTATTGTACCGTTTTGGGCCATAATAGGATGCCTAGGCCTGTTTTTATTTTTTTTATTTTTTGGCCCGCCCGCTCCATTATTTTTCTAGAAAAATCCGTTAACCAAGAAATTAAATTGGTGTCGCCTTAAACAAAATCCCTTACATGAATCCTCATGCCGTCATCCACGGGATAAGACCCCAGCAGGGCGTCGTTGTTGTCCATCGTCGTGACCAGTTTGTTCTCCTTTGTGAAGACCTGCAGGTCCATGTGTGCTGCGGGGCAGCCTGTGATCAGCTCCAGCTTCATCTGAAATAATCAAATACACATATTTTTACAGTATAACAAACAAGAATTCAGAGACAAACAAGAATTCTGAGACTTTGGGAAGTCTTTAAGCAACACCAGCTATCAAGGAGGTCATGTAATGAAAAAGCAGCAAGCTCTACCAGAGATATAGATGTGAGTAATTAATGACTTTCTCCCACCAGGATGGACTGAACAAACCAGATCCACTACAACCTGAACTAAGGGCCATGCATAAACACAGACACACACACACAGATACACCCACACAGAGCTCACACCTAAAACAATATTTACCTTATTTTTCACAGATAATTTTTCATGGAGGTAACCACTGTACATGTATCAAATGATCTGATAATTACTTTGGCTGCTCAGACATATTTCATCATCACCAAACTTACTGTGGACTTAACATCGGTCAGTCAAGTTACCTAACTGTAACCAATAATTCAACATTCTTCATCTTCTTCATCTTTGCCGGGGCTCAAAGATGTTTAATATGTGAGCCCCGGCTACACCCTCATATAGCCCCTGAAAGGCCCTGATGGGGCACTTTAGGGGGGGGGGAGGGCCTTAGTTTAAGGTGGGCAGGCCTCCAGCCTGGCCCGGAAGGACTCAACGGTGGGAGCCATAACTACCGGGCCAGGCAAGGCGTTCCATTGGGGGATTGTGCGAGGGAAGAAGGAATATTTGTAAGTGTCTGTTCGTGCATGTATAGGTTGATATTTATACTGGTGGCTCCCTCGGGTACGCCCTTGGGCTGGGTACGCCCTTGGGCATTCAGCAAAGCTACTTTGGTTCGGTTTGAATGACTATGCACACATCACGCCCCCCTCCCCATATCGTACCTTCAGCGCGCCGATTGTCAGGCTCTTGTCGAAGCGTTTCTCTGAGCCAAAACTGCTCAGGGAGCTGGAAATTTGCACGTTGACGTTGGACGCTGTCACCACGGAAAACTCTGCCATCTTGAAAATGTAGATACTGCAGTCTGAACGCTCTCAAAATTTTGAACGTCGTTTTCTTGCCTCCACTCCTACTTTTACTTCCGCAATTCCGGAATGTTCTTTCTCGTCTGACAACACTCATCTCGCGAGATTAGAAACATCCAATGGGCGTCTCTCTTACGAAATTCCACGGTTCTAAAAGACTATAAAACGATTTGTGATTGGCTAGGACATCTGGATGTTAGGAAGAGCGGGAGACTTCGTTTTTGAGGAAAGATCTTTTTGTCCTTACTTGCCTTTTTGCTCGCCAAAGAGATTTTGATATACTCGGCGGGCGTTTATACTTATTACAGTAGTTCGCGGAACGTTTCGGCCATTCTCCGGACCATGTTTTAAGGCTGGATAAGCACGACAATGCGCCTGATCTGTAGCGTCGAGGTCAACAACCGCCTGTGCCCCTCCCACAACCTCGCCAGCAGTAAGAGCAAGGGCCGCGGGGGACATGCCACCCTGACGCTGGGTAGGAAGCCTGGCTCCGACAGCAAGGAGGGGATGGTGTTCTTAATGATGTGCACGGCCAAGGACAAGGCAGGGACCAAGTATAAGGTGAGTCCTGCACTGTTTCTGTGTGTATAAAACAATGGCCAAGCAAAGAGTACAGTAAAAACTTTCTAAATTGTATAGCCACAAATTTATGTTGGGCAGCCCTTTCTGCCCTGCCACTTGCTACATAAATATGTAATCCAACATGTAATAAAAAAATTGCCTACCACTTGCAGGCCGTGACATAATGTTTTATACAGAATTGAAAGCATGATTGAGAAATTGCAGTTTAACAGGTTATAAGCGTGGTAGCCAACACACAAATCTTGCATGAGTTACAAGGCTTTCAAGTTTCATGATTTTGTTCATTTCAGTTGAAGGGGAACGTTGGACAGATCTTCGGTAGGTTTGTGCAGGAAGGAAAGGCCACCATCCGCTTCCACCAGCCTGAGCACGACATCTGTATCAGCAAGGTAACCTATAGCTGGTAGTTATGTAGATAGCCGAATGATAGCAAAGATTATGTGTGACAATGTGTCATGATTTCACTCTACAAATTTTTTAAACATAGTTCTTGTAAATTAATGGTATTGTAAATCGTAACACCGCAACTATGTGTTTTGTAACTTCAAATACAGCAAAAGAAACTCATTTCTCTCATACCCACAAAATAAAACACCACTAAACTAAAACTAACTACAACCAAAAGTGAATACAGTATAAAATTTTTGCTTTGTAACACCCATTCCTTTGTTCCCTCCAGGCAGACCCCATAAACCTAAAGGCATTGTTGTCAGCTGTGAAGCTGGCTCACCACGGACAGGAGATGACTCGTGCTCAGGTGTCAACCCTCACCCCCGCCACAACCTCACAGGTAGAACCTCCCAAAACAAAGATGACCGTGTCCAAACGTAAAGACTACCCCCTCACCAAGTCTTTCCCCAGCTCCCTCGTTGAGCTGAGAATAAACCACTGTACTCTCAATCGCATTGACACCAGGATCCTCGGCCTGAAGCATTTGAAGCTTTTGGACATGAGTGACAACAACATACGAACCCTGCCAGAGACCATCGGTGAACTGAAGTGTTTGGCAGACCTGAACATGTCCAACAACCAGCTGACAGAGTTTCCGGGGAAGTTCTTCCAGTCAACGCTGCGGAATTCTCTCCAGTCACTGGACCTGAGCCACAACCAGCTGAGCCGCCTGCCCAACCAGCTGTGTGCCTGTGTGGATCTGGTGTCCCTGAAGCTGGACTGTAACAAGTTGTCGGGGCTGCCACCGTCCATAGGACTGCTGAGGAAGCTGAGATTTCTCACAGCTACACGCAACCACATCACTCTGCTGCCGGTCAGTCTGCAATTAGTCTGCAATCTTATAATCAGCTTTTCTCTCTATCCCAGGTTATTGTCCATTGAGTGTTGGTTTGTCATGTTTACCTTTGTAGAAGGAAAACATTGTTTCTGCTCTGTTTCTTCAACTTCTTCCCTTCCAAACAAATAAGGTCAATGACCTGGAACACACTGCTGTTGCCATGGTAACCGGTGCTGTAGTGGACACCAGTGGTGTTGGATTACATTATGTAGT